CGCCGGCGGGGGCGGAGGCCGGCGGGAGAGCGGGCCGCCGCTGCTGGCGATGCTCCCGCGCGCGGCTGCGGAAGACCTTCTGGGGCGTGGCGGTGGTGCTGTGCGTGTGCTCCTCCTGGGCGGGCGCCACGCAGCTCGCCAAGCTGACCTTCGGCAAGTTCGATGCCCCCTTCACGCTCACGTGGTTTGCCACCAACTGGAACTGTTTATTCTTCCCGCTCTACTACGCGGGCCACGTCTGCAAGTCGGCGGAGAAGCAGTCGGTGAAGCAGAGATACAGGTAGGCGCCTCCGGGATGCCGGCCGGCCCTGGGGCTGCTCTCCGGAGCTGCCGGCGCTGGGCCGCCCCGGCGGCGGGCGCTGGGCCGGGCCAGGGACACAGTGCCGAGAAGCCCCAGGGTCACCCACTGTCTTGGTGGGGCCGGGAGCGGAACTCTCTCCCCTCGGAGTGGTGAACACCTATCCTCCGCCTCTCACCCGGCAGCCGCAGGAACTCCTTTATATGAGATGAGAGAGGGCAGCGCCTTCCAGAGATGGCCTGTGCTAAGTCCCCAGAAAGGGTGGAAGTGGGAAAACTCTGTAGGTCCATTATCCCTCCCGAGTCAGGGCTGAGGACAGGTCCATGTAGCTGGGTAACTGGTTGCTTTCTGTAGCTTACCTCCCCCCGCAGGGCGATGTTCATTGCAAAGACTTGATTACTCATTCCCTCTCCAATCCAAGACCTTCCCTCCTTTGGTTTTATAGTTGCTTGGGTCTGAATATCCGGCAGCGTGGCCATCAAAATCAAGGCACTGTGTCAGCTTTGTGGACTGTATCTTCTCATTGGCATGACCTCCCTTTCAAAAAGAAGCCGGAAACCCTGATCTCAGCCATCTACCACAATGTACAGCAGGGGTCCCCCGGCCCCCTTAGGAGCCAGATGGTCCATGTTGGCCCTGGGACCTCATCTGTGTCAATCCTTGGGTCTCATGGTCACCCAGAGCCGAGGCTCTCCGTAACTGTGTACAGACCTGCTGCTGCTGGCCCAAATCAGATCTATCCAGAAAAAAACTCAGTGAAGAATGCTGGCCAAGGTGACCAGGTAGGGCCCTGGGAATTTATCTCTTACCAGTCCCAGAGGTGGAAAAAATGTGAAAGTCTAGGGCTATTTACTCCATCTCCACTGCCCTGTTCCCCACCTCACCCCAACCCCACCAGACATGCACCCTCCTCATACAGTGACTATGTCCCATTTACTGTCTCCTTCAAACCTCAGTCCTGTTCTGGAGTTGCCCTTAGAAGTTGCAGGATAACTGACACCATCAGGTCCAAGGGGCAAGGAGGTTTGGGAATGGAGTTTTACAGTCAGATCAGAATTTTCTGAGATTCTGCCATTACGTTGCTGTGAAGTTACCGTTGGAGGTGTGAGGGTCCAAACTGGTCTGATGTTCAGAGGGAATTTGGACTGGCTCCTTTAAAGGACGAGGTTGTAACTTGGGGGACTGATTCTAGAGGAAGGGGCACTGATGCAGCTTGGGTTGAGTCACAAGGTCAGCGTCACATGTCTCAGCGGAAAGGACTCAGAGCAGATTCTGGAAGCACAGCATGTGGGAGCCTGGAGCCCAGACCTGGAACCCAGGCCTGGGCAGTTCTCAGTGTTGCCTTAAACCCATGGCTTCGTGGACCAGCCGGAAATCACTAGAAACCACTTACCGTGCCTCTTCTGAACAGCACCTGAAAGCAGACTGAGTTATGACTCTGTCGCAACGCAAACAAATAAGTTTAGAAACTTTGAGAGGGCCGTGGGTTGTCCCAAAGCAAGAGAGGAATAATGGCCTGCTTTTAGTCATACGGAAAAGCAAGTATTCAGTAATGATGTATTTAACAGTAAAGTAGCCCTGAGTGTATTCATTTTGTAATTACGAGTTTGCCTTTCTTTGAACTGAGTAGAATATTATGCCTCTGCCTCTAAAAAGGGGCTAACAGAAGTGAGCGCCCTTTCTCAATGGGAGATTTACTGGAGGGAAGACGAAATGTTCTATCCTTGCATCTGCCAACCGTGCAGCCTGAGAGAGGGCCTCCCGGGCTGCTGCCCTGAACGTGTGTCCTCAGCATGACGACGCCCACCCTGGGGCCAGACAGGCCCCGCTGGCCACTTAGGGCAGGCCCGGCACCGTTAACCAAGCGTGCCGAGAACACCACCAGAGGAGCCGAGCTCGGTGGTAGTTAAAAGGTCAAGGGAGGAAAAAAATGCAAAGTCAAGGAAGCAGATTAAACACGAAAGACATCACACCTTGATTCCAGCTCATTGTCTTCCTGTGAGAAGTCTCTGGGAAGAATCATGAGAGGAATCTGGTGACGGCTGCATCAGATGGAGAACGGTGGGGCGTAGTGGGGATCAGCACGGCTTGATTAGAGAAGCCAGTTAAAACCTCGCCCAATTTCTATAATAAAGCTTAGCTTACTCCCTAAAGAAATCCGATTGTAAACTGTGCGCTCCCTGTGGCTACACAGAGCCGTAACTGGGTGTGTCGTTTCAGCCCTGCACACCATTGGAGGGTTGAAGGGACTTGCTTTCTCAAAAAAGGGAGAGGCCAGTGTTCACATCACAGACTTTATGTAGGAAGTTACAACTCCTTGTCACAACTCAAATTGGGAATTCTTTTTTCTTTTTTTGGAAGAGGCTTTTTTTTTAATTGAAATATAGTTGTTGTTGTACAATATTATGTAAGTTACAGGTGTGCGGTATAGTGGTCCACAACTTTTAAAGGGTTTATGCTCCATTTATAGTTATTGTAAAGCATTGGCGCTATTCCCCATGTTGTATCTTGTAGCTTTTTTCATACCTAATAGTTGGTACCTCTTAATCCCCTACCGAATTGGGAGTCCTGTAAAACAGACTTTAGGATGCCCAGACATCGAGGCAAACTAAAATCACATCTTCCATGTTTGTGCTTTTATTGAAGTGAATGCCGGAGAGGAAAAGACCTTTAGTCAACTGAGGAGATGTGTCTCTAGGTTAAGAGTGTTTCCGCAGGGAGCTGGGGATGAAGGGAGAGAGGTTGGGGCCGTTTTCAGAGAAGGAAGCTGGACAGATAAGCCCACATTTCCTGCGGTTATCAGGAAGCAATCGGGTGGAAGGTTCTTTTCTCTGAGCCCTCCCCACTGAGGCTGCTTCCTCCACTTGGAGCTGGAAAAGTCAGCCACCGCAGAGGCGGGGACACAGGGCTTCTCAAACTCTCCGAGTCTCCAGGATCTTGTCAAAGGGCTGACACTGACTCCGTAGGTCTGAGTTGACCTGAGATTCTGCTTTCCTAATGAGCTTCCAGGAGATGCTGGCACTGCTGGCCCACGGGCTGCTCTTGGACTGTACCTGCCCTGGAGTTGCCGAGTCTCAGCTCCACATCTTAAAATGTTGCTGATCTGACCCAATGGAGAAACCGGGACCCATCCTCCCATGTGCAGCTGACGAGGGACTGACTCACTTTGGGCCCCAAGGATGTTGGAGCCCTGGTCCTCTGCCACCTGCGGGGGAGGGGAGGCTCTGTGGGCAAGTCTTTTCACCTCTGAGAGCCTCACGTGCTTGTTTGTAAACGGAAGGTGATGACACACGCCCTGGCTTGCACAAAAGATGGTTGTGTAATCAGATGAAATACCGTACGTGCAGGTGTCCTAAAAGCTGTGAGATGCCAGAGGAATGCCAGGAACCACCCCCGGAGCGTGATCTCCTCTGTGGGCTATGAGGTAGCCCGTGCTTAGTTCATCGGCCACCTGCTGGTGGCCTGTTTAAACTGCAGGAGCGGGTCTTGCAGGGAGTGCCAGCCCCCCGCAGTGCCGCGCAGGTGTTCTGTGCAGGAGAAATCACCCCGCAGGCATGCCGGCTGTACGAGGCATCCTGGAGTGATCAGGGCTTCCTGGGATCGGGTACTGTTGTCAGGAACCAGAGTGTGGATGTGAAAACCTGCCAGCCCAGCTGTCCTGGGTTTCAGCCTCAGTCCCTCGTGAGCAACCCCAAATGTCTGGAAATAAAGTGAGCACCCCTCTCTCCCCAGACAGTCGACACCCCACCCTGACCTTCCCTGTTTCTCGCAGACAGCTGGCCGCAGGGATGCCCCTAGGGAGGCAGCCGCACGCAGGACTCGGGGAGGGCTCTGGCCACGGAGGTGCGTGTGGGGGCTGTGGAAGCCGCAGGTGTGACCTGAAAGGGGGTTCAGCTCCCAGGAGCCTCCCGCCAAGCCGGGCACCTGGAGGAGGCGCACAGAGGAGGCCGTATCGGGTCCGTGGCCCTGGAGGGACGGCACACAGCCTCCCAGCGCCTCTGGTCTCAGGAGGAGGACGGCTCCTCGGATCCCAGGGGCCTGCCCGGACCAGCACAAGCAGCCAGAGTGGATCTGGGGCACTTGCCGCCTTGTCGGAAGTTCTGTCAGGAATTCCTGTTAGTAGTGACCTCTTTTCGTGAGCAAACACTGGGACCTTCTGCTCTCACGCGGCTGCCAAAAAAGCGAACGAGGCAGTGGTGACGGATGTTTTCCTCTGCCTATTGTAGTCCCTGGCTCCTGGAAGCTAGCCCGTTGATTCTGCCTCAGAAACGCCAACAGACGTTCTGAGCCGAGACAGGGGAAAGGGCGGCTTTGGTGCCTTCCGTCTGCCGTCCTACAAGGCCCAGACAGGCAGGCTCTGGACGGGGTCCTGCACCTGTAACATTCAAGGTCTAACCGAGGAGCAGAGCAGTCACACTCTGGAGGGTTGTTCTTTCTGGAAATGGTTATTGCACATCTCCACAGGGATACAGTCATAAATGGTCCCCATCCTTAAGGAGCCTGCATCCCAGCAAGGGAGTCAGATAGTCCAGTGGGGGGAGTGTGTGTGCAGGGGGCCTGGGGAGAAGCCCAGGTGTGCAGGTCCTGGGGCAGGTGGAAAGGTTCTTGGAGGAAATGACCAAGGAGCAGCCTCTTTGAAGACAAGCTGCTGGTCCTCCTGGTGGTGGGCAGAAATGGACCCTGTGGCCCTCCCACACCGTGCTGAGAGGTGTGGGTTCTTGTGTGACTGTTGTGGGAGGGCAGAGAAGCCATCAGACTGGATCTTTAGAAATACCACTATGGCTCTTGGTCGAGGACAGGATGGAGCGCCAGTGGAGGCCAGGCCAGTCGAACAAGCTCGATGTCTAGGTGTCCGGCATGTGGGCCGGTGTGGTGACACTGATGTTGTCCCCAGCATCCAAGTGGGAGAGAGACCATTATGAAAACCAGAGTGGGGTGTGGGGAGGCAGCAGGAGAGAGGGGCAGACGGGCTGGGCTGCAGC